CAACATCATTATCTTTTTCATCTTTTCAAATTCTAACCTAAAATTTTTAATAATATAGATTATAATGTAATCAAGTTAGCATTACAACGTAAACATGCAGTTACAAAAAGACTTGATCCAGTTTATCATTTAGGATTAAAGGAATTATGGAATCAAGTCCGAATAAAAAATATTTCTAAAGAAAAAAGAAACAAGTATATGGATGAATTATTTGAATTAATTAAAGGTAAAATACCTGAAATATTATTTAAAATTGATACTTCACGTATTATACAAACCGTACTTAAGTATGGTACAGAAGAACAACAAAAAATTATTATTGACGAGTTGGAAGGAAGATGGTTAGAAGCTTCAAAAAATGTTTATGCTAAATTTGTTATTTGTAAAGTTTTGAAGTATTGGTAAGTTGACAGCGACAATTTTATATGTATATTTGATTACTGATTTTGATTTTAATGTTGATTTTTTTTTTTTCGGTTTCAGCCCTAAACACAGGTATAAAATTATATCAGAATTTAAAGGTAATATTTCAAAATTGATGCAACATACCGAAGCTCGTAGTGTAATTCTAGAAGCTTATGAATTACTTAATGCAAAACAAAGATCCTCTTTAATCCAAGAATTTTATGGGAAAGAATTTTCCTTATTCAAGGTATTAATCTAGACGCACTTAATATATATATATATTTTTTTCTTTTATCATGCTATTGATGTGTAATGTCACTTTTTAACTTAGGAAACACAAGGATTAAGCATTGAGGAACTCGTAAAAGAAAATCCCTCGAATAAAGACAGAGTTCTTGAAAACCTTTCAAGAGAGATAGAGGCAATAATGAAAAAACCAGGGTTAATTGGATATATTATACCACAACGTATTATGTTAGATTATTTTACTCATGCTAATGAAAATAAGATTCGTGAAAAAGTTGCTTTAATTGGAGAACACGTACATGAATTTTTACATACGCGTGAAGGGTCTCGTGTAGCAATGATGTGTTTTTCTTATGGCACCGTAAAAGTAAGTATGATTAATGATTAATATATTGATTTTATTTTGCACTTTATTTATTTTTGTGATGATAATCCAATGTTCTCGTTTTTATTTCCTAATATATAGGATAGGAAAACTATGTTGAAAGCCATGAAAGATTATGTCGAAAAGATATGTTGTGA